TACCTTTTATAACAGCACTCATTGTCTACATAATCTGTTTAGGGCCCGAGGCCGAGAGAAAAACCTTTAGAAATTGCAAGGATTACTATAATATTATTTTCACCAAAATGAATCGCGTTTTTGAGAGTCCTTAGCATGCTTAACAACTTGTTTTGCACACTTGTCAGGAATAATAAAATGCTGTAACTCGCCTCTAAATGGTCAAAACTGTTTTAGAACCTCACACGTTGGATAAGTAGGAAGTTATTGTTGAGCAGGTTAACCAGATCACCACTATATTTGGTCTGCTAAATGTTAATACCTCGCCAGCCAGACGCCGTAACTTGTGTGGTTCTTGGAACACGTTACCGTGGCAACGCATTGTTCGACATAAAATAAGTACTTCTTTTGGGCTTAGCGATGCATATACAGAACTTGACACACGCAGTCACACACAGTAACAAACAGTTATCTGCTATGTTTATTTTGTTTCGGTATGGAAAGGTTGCTCAATAGCGCCGCCTTATAAACCTTAACAACCCCTGCTGTACGTGACACCTAGATTAAGATATTTGTTATGCCACGAAAATTATCATTACAAATGTTAAAGTCACAATATATAGTTTAGCAAGCATATTGATTCACAAACAAGGGATATACAGTATACACAGGATATACTTTATTGAGAAAGAAAGGACACATTAAAACCATCATGACTATCTATACTTTAATACTAATGAAGTTCGTCATAAAACATGTTCAACATAGGGCCCATATAAAAAATAATTTAAAATAAAAATAAATGAAATTGTGCAAAATTCAACTTAATATTGCATAAATAAAGTTTACCATTTGAACATAAGCAGCAACAATAAATTATTTTACTTTCAAATGACACTGGCAACAAAAACGGGATGGCATCCACAAAGTAACTTTCTGAAGTTCAGTACATTTTGGAATTTTCTGTGCAATTATTCAAACTTTAAGACCAGATTTATTCCAAAGGACACATTTTGAAGCTCACTGCAGCCCCCTAGTGGACAAAAAGCATCACTACGACCTTACAGTTACCAGCCGCTCCACAAAAAAAAAAAAAAGCAAACATTTTGTAGCTGATATTTGAGATAAAAGTGATTACTTCAAATCGGTCCAAATTCAGAAAGATACAAGCAGGCTTAAGTCTTGACGAGTCCACCATCCCTTTTACACTGAAAATGACACTCAAATAACTTAAGTTCCTAAAAGTCACTAAATCCACTCTGTTACCACATATAATGCATCATGTATAATACAGTAAACTATACTGTTAAGGAATGAAACACAAGCAGTGCAATGACTTCCTACCTCTAAATGTTTTATGTCTTAGTAAATGATTGTACATGATAAATATTTGAAATAAATGTCCTTCTTCTACTCATGGCTTCACCACTACATTTCAGCATGTATTTGATCAATCATTTCATCACAGAACCCTATACAGCAGGTTAATGCACCTACATCAACAAGTAATATGAAGATATTACTAGCGTTGGACTCACCGTTGAACAAAAGATTCACTTGAATGTTTAACACTTCAAAAATATGAATCCAGCCTATCTCCGGGTCCCTCAGCTTTTTTATGATTGATGTCAAATAGAGAGGTCACACAGCCATGACATTATAAAATACAAAAGACTAATTTCATACTTAGCTTTCGCTGCCACAGTGGAGCCAAATCTGTCTAAAAGCACAAGGTGGACGTTTGCAACGGTAAGAATGAAACCTACAGAAATCAGTTAAATCCAACTACCCTAAAGTCAAAAGACTAGAGGCCGCACATGTTAGAAACAAACTGATTTATAACAACATCCTGATCCACGGCCGACACGGTTAGCACGGACATTTCTGGGCTCTTCCAGGAAAACGTATCTTTGAGTGAACATTATCCAAGCAGTAGAGGCAGAGCCATGAGAAGAAAGGTGTGTGTTCCTTTAAAACTCTACAATGAACGTACGATACACTAAACTTCACTACTATGGCAGATTCACAGTTTTAAAAGCACAGTGGAAGAACATACTCCGGGTGAGAGTGACACTGATAACAGGTCTGTCAGAGAGGGGGGAGGGGGGGGGGGGGTTGAACTTTGGTTGACTTTTCCTTGAGTGTTCCTTCTTAGGACAGGACGTGATAGTGGTTAGGGTTCATGTCCTGAAGATGACCAGAGAGCGGAAACGCCTCTGCGGAACGATATGGCGAAGGTTTAAAGGGTCCCTCCGTTAGCATTTAGCATTTAGCACAGGAGACAGGTATCAGGATCCTGATCGTTTCATACCATAAAGAGCAAAATCCATACTGGGCACATACACTCTTTTTCGAAAAACCAATTATTATACACGACTCCAAAGAAAACCCATATTTTGTTGTCCTACTGACAGTTTTCTCATCCTTTCGGGTGAAAAAAACTTGATTCTTCGCCAACATTTCTCTCCAATAAGCTGAAAGAACAAGTTCATCCTTCAAATGTTTTCTCCAGTAATTTCCAATTTCTAAAAGTCGTCTCAGAGAGCATCTTGTATCCCCACCAGATCACCAACCAATCAGGGAGGACGTCTACACATCGATGGCCACCCCGTGTTTGGTGGAGATCACGTCCCTGGTCCCTGTTAGGTACATGAGCACAGAACACAGGTGGGGCAGCGTTGCCGTGGTGCTGACGTACAGCCAGTAGGGGAGGGGGGCCGTGTTTCCGAACGGACACACCCACAGGCCGTGGCGCACGGCGTCCCGGACGTGGTGCGTCGCCATGGAGATGAACAGCATCCACGGCAGGGAGCACCAGGCGTCTTTGAGGCGTCCGATCCACATGAGGAAGCGCAGCGAGAGACAGAGGACGGGGATGATGGAGGAGCAGTGGAGGGGGGGGCGGTGGGGGAGGGAGACGGCCGCCTGGAGGGAGGGAGGCAGTTAAGATAAAGTATCTCTGGATGTACTTCAGCAGAAACACATCATTACAATATCTACTTTGAATTTCATCTTGTATTTATTTATTTATCTGTGCACACAACCTGCTAGCCCTTTAGAGTATTTTGTTTAAAATATGATAAAAAAGTAATTATATAGCATGTCATTAGTATTTTCGCACAAAATACGACTATACTAAGTTGAAGAACTTCAATAAAAAAGAGCATTGTTTGTAATAAAAATATAAAAAGTCATCCTATACTTTATTGTAAAGAATTGCTAAATAAGATATTTTCTCCAAAATTCCTATGAATTATATTGCACTATTTCCAAATGTGGTACATTTCTAGTCTTAAACATGTAGAAGAGCCCTCAGCAGGGGGCGGGTCTACCTTGAGTGACAGGGACCCCGCCATATAGAAGTGGTCCAGGTCGATGATGGAGGCCAGCAGGCCGGCCAGCAGCACCTCGTACACGTCGCTCTTTTTCCTCAGTCCAATCACCACGGCCCACGACCACAGCCCCACCAATCCGTGCGTGGCGTTGTCCAGGGCGGCGCGCAGCCACAGGTGGTTCTGGATGACGGACAGCTGGAGGCCGTGGTCCGCCACCACACAGAACATGCCGAGGCCTGCCGACGCCAGCAGGGAGGCGGAGCTAAAGGTCTGCAGCAGGGCCTGAGCCTTCTCCGTCTCCACAGCCAGGCTCAGAGGGAGCGGGGCCCCCTCCCCCCCCAGGCCCCCCGCCCCCAGCAGGGGGACCGCGTCCAGCTTGGAGTAGAATCCTTGCATATTGACTAACGGCTGAGTGGGCCAATCGTCACTGAGGGTCAGCAAGAGTCAGGTAGCCTGGTGACGAGAGGGGAAATGTAAGAGGCGAAGAAAAGATGGTTACATAAATGTATATTTGTTTACATATTTACAGTATATGTTTGTACCCCATGTTGTTAAATAACAAAAAAATAAACTAGTCAATTTGCCTAATATATATAATATCAATCAAACAAATTAAATGTCTGTGTGTGCTTCTGCTTCATGCTTGGTACAAAGATACATAACAAAGGCACGATGTTCTCTCTATGCTGCTCCAATGACCACAGATTGAGCAATCCAAAGGGCAATCAGGCATAACAACAAGCCTCCACAATAATAGTATAACATTGTTGTATCACATTCAACTGTATCACTGTTCATGGAGTCTTATAAATCAATATAAATAAGTAATATACAACTGAAGCCTTTTAGCACAACAATTAGCACACAAAAATAAACACTGTAAACAGCAGTCCTAGTCTGAATGTCCCTTTTTATTTTTAATAAACATCAATGCCAGTGGTTGAAAGTAACTAAGTACATTTATTCAAGGCTAGAGGATTTATACTTCTACTTGTAGTGGAGTACTTTAAGACCAAAGTATTTGTGCCTTTTACTGGTAGTGGAATACTATAAGACCATATTATTTGTACTTTTACTTGTAGTGGAATACTATAAGACCATAGTATTTGTACTTTTACTTGTAGTGGAATACTATAAGACCATAGTATTTGTACTTTTACTTGTAGTAGAGTACTAAAAGACCATAGTATTTGTACTTTAACTTGTAGTGGAGT